TTATACTTCAGTCCAAAGCAACTTTTAATGAGCGATTTCTATACTTATTTGCCTTCTACACAGGTTGGCAAAACCTCTGTTACTTCTGAAATCACTATGCCAAATATTTTATGTTGCTTGATAAAGGTCAGATTTCCCCACCCCCCACCGCCCAAGAGCAATCTAAAAGCTCAGCTATTTCGGAATCCTCATTAATGTCATCGCCTCCTCATTTATTAAATGGCTCCTCTTCCTCCTTGGAAGCATTTCCTCCTGCAGTCGAGTTGCAAAAGCACTTTTTGCTCCCCTTCCACCTATATCAACCAAGCCCCGCCGCCTCTCTCTTTTAATCCTGCTTCCTCCCTCTCTCCATCACAGGCCATTCACATGAATTGGATTTTTACCCAACAGTGCCAAAGCATGCATCATTTTAAATAAATCATTTGCAATGACCTATTTACTGTAAATCACCAAAAAAGAGAGAGAGGGAAATATATAAAATCCATGCAAACGGTTTCAAATACATTTGCAATCTTCATAGAGCACCGCCAAGTCATCATGAAGACCTCCCCCAATAGAAAGTGTTCTGGACAGTTAACGCTGCCCCTGCTAAGTAATTTCTTTGCAATTGAAGGATGCTTCCAGGCTAGGAGATGGGTGTGGAACTGCAATGCTTTGTTGACTCACTTTTAACAGGGCTTCCACACATCCAATCATGCTCATCCTGTATTTTCCCTGTGGCTCTTCCATCTTTCCCCAAACCATGTTTTTCAGAAGAGCTGACAGCTAAAATGCATTTTACTGGTATAGACTAAAATAAATGGGGTCATGAGACAACACACACCACAAAAACTATAGTGAAGTGTGTTGAGCTTCAAATGGGCACAGCAGCTATGTCACGTGTACAGTGTGGCTAGAAGGTAGTGGGATATACACAGATGGAAAAAGTGCAATACTCAGGGATGGTAACTTACAACAGAAGAGCAATGATTCACTATGATCTGTGAAGTCTCTCCCCACCCCCTTTACACTGTTTATTATGCTTGTCCAGTGGGCAACAGGAATCTCTCTCTCTCTTTTTTACCATGTCTGCATCTGAGTCACCAAGACAGTGGGACACTTTAAAGCACCAGCACTGTATCAGGGAAAAGTGATCTATAAAAAGAAACTTCATCATTTCAGCCCATTCCTACTTTCTGCTGGCACGCAGCTAGTGATTAGAGCAAAGAAACAAAGACAAAGAGTCAGCAGAATATATATATATATATATATATATATATATATATATATATATATATATATATAATGTAGTTCAATTCAAGTGAAGTTGCTGCAGCAGTAGGTGGTCTATGCAGTCACTTAGGGAAAAGAGACCTAGCTCTTGCCACATGCATGCTCAGGTATGCTGTGTAGGGCTGAGGTGTGGCTACTTAACCCTGCCACACCTTCTGCTGGCCTTCAGGGGGCAGGGGGGTGGTCGCCCCAGGTGTCATCACTGAGGGGGGTGACATTACGCTGTCCTGCCCGCAACTCCCAAGCCTACCGTGGTTAAGTGTGGTGGACTCGTAATCTGGTGAACCGGGTTCGCTTCCCCGCTCCTCCACATGCAGCTGATGGGTGACCTTGGGCAAGTCACACTTCTCTGAAGTCTCTCAGCCCCACTCACCTCACAGAGTGTTTGTTGCGGGGGAGGAAGGGAAAGAATGTTAGCCACTTTGAGACTCCTTAGGGTAGTGATAAAGCGGGGTATCAAATCCAAACTCTTCTTCCACCCTGAGCTGTTGGCGGAAGGGGGCGGAGCTGCGCCGCCTTGCCGGCGGCCTTCCCCCTTTGTTTTGACAGCTCAGGGGAGGCTTAGGAGTCATGGGCGGTGGGCGCACCATTGCCCCCCGCTCCCAGGCTACTTCCTGGGGGGGGGAGCCTCACCCGAGCTGTCAAAAGGAAGAGAGAAGGGAGGAAGGCTGCTGGCAAAGTGGCACAGTTCACTCCCCCCACCGCCGCCCAGGAAGCAACCCGCCATGGGCGGCTCGCCGTGCCCCCATAGCCCCACCCTCAGGTGCACAGCATGTGTGCCGCTCCAGGTGCCAGAGCAGCTAGCTCCAGCTCTGCCAGCCTTCTGGAGGTTTGGTGGCATCCACCAATCCCACTTCATTCAGTCCAGGCATTGGCAGGTCACCTTTGGGTGTGGGCAGTATGCTTTTTTTTTTTGGCCCATCAGTTGATTGGCATTGTTTGCTAGTTTATTTTTTGGGGGGAGGAGGTTCCTCAAGCTTCACTGGCTTGGTGGCATGTGTCCGCAGTGGAGGGATGGGTTGCTGTTAGATTTCCCACACTGGCAGGTAGACAGCTAATGTTTGGTGAGGGTAGTCACCTTTAAGATTGAACAATGTAGCCCCAAGTCTTGCCTGCAGTGCTGTCAACCCCCCTGGCAGGGCATACCCTCCAACATTTCTCTGATGAAAATAGGGAACATCCTAAGGAAAAGTGGGATATTCTGGGATCAAATTAGAAACGGGCATGGCCTCTCTAAATAAGGGATGCCTCTGCAAAATAAGGACACTATTGGCAGGGTGGAGTGAAACAGTATCATCTCCCTACTTACCTGAAAGCATGATGCAACACTACCTCTCCCCCTTGGCGGAGCTGACTTGCCCAGTTTGTTACGTGTGATTATAGTATCCCACACCTTTGTTCCCTTATTCAGATCTGTGGTGTCAAGCCTTTGTACCTTGCTGCCTTATTTCCCTGTGTGGCTGCAATACATGGCCGTGTAACTTTACACAAAGGAGGTGTGTGTTGTGAAGACTGTTCCATTTATTTCAAAGGCCTGTCTAGTTGAGCATTCTGTTCTTGCAGCGGCCAACAAAATGCCTATGGGAAGTTCGCAATCGGGAACTGACCACAGCAGGGCCCACTGTTCCTTTGACTGAAATGACTGAGAAATCTTTCTGAATAGAAGGGCTTCGTGTTGGCTTTGGAGCTCCTAAGCTTGTATGAAATTAAGGTTCATCATCAGCTAGAGAAAGCAGTAACAGCCGAGACTGCCACCAATCACAAGCAAAAGGTTCAATGGAGATAGAAGCTGGTATATACAAGCAACAAAGGAAAGGGGGAGGGGCACAGGTTATTCATGCAAAAGATAACAAATCCAACCCCCAACAAATCCACTGAAAGGATGGATTTGTTCCAGCAAGTGATAGGAATGTCTACTGCTTGAGATGTTTGAGAACAACTGCCAGCTGAAAAGGGCAGGGCAGTGATGCACCACCAAAGGTCCATCTCACTTTCAAGCAGATTCAGAGGTTAAAAATCACTTCTTTCGCTGCAATTTATTTGTTTATTTACTACTTAATGGCAATCATCTCTAAGTGAGGAACAAGGAATACAACATGGAAAGGGTAAGAATCGGTTAAAACTATAAAAATCAGACCAATTAAAATGCATGATGGAATAATAATAATAAACTTCACTAAGTGCTGGAAATTCAAGGAGTGAGTCTATTTGACCTTAACTGAAATGGAGTTGCATAAAACTTGGGCCCATAATACTGAATGCACAGCTCCTGGTGGAGATGAACCATGCATCCAGACTACAACTTCTATCAGTCCAAAAAGGCCAGTCATGATAGGAGCTAGAGTCTAACAGCATCTGAAAGACCAAAAATTTAGTCCTTCCTGGTGAGTCACAGGTGTTATCTTTGGCAAACCATTTCCCTCCCTCATCACACCCCTGTCTTCAGCAACCAATAAATGTGCACCAGAGATTTTGCACATCAAGAAACAAAGGAGGAACTGTCTGCCTCTGACACCCCAGCATCACACACACGCAAAATTATTTGTAATGTCAAATGCTCTGCTTGTTTCTACAGAATGGGCATCATTACAGTTGCTCTTTTCTCTGTGTGTGAATAACTTTTCATTTCCCTTTACTATTAACCTACCCAAGCATTACCAAAGCAGGCTGATTGAGCCAGTCAGATGGAGGGCTTCCTCTTTGCTTCTCCGAGAATGTTAATTTGCTTCAGTGCATATCACTATTCCACGGGGCTCCCTTCTTTGCTTTCATATGCTTCACTGCCAGAGCTACTGGTCACATTCATTAAGTACATCCCTACCTCCAGCTTCTCCTTGACAGATATATATATATATATATATATATATATATATATATATATATATGCATGCATGCAGCGAGTTTTGAAAAATGTCCAAGCGTGCAGTTCTTATGGGACTGACAGCTCAGGCAGTCTAAAACTAACTAGTACTGAAATGGAAAACATCACACAAAAGTGGTTGTGAATTTCCCCACATATTTAGTGTATGGGATGCCAAAGATTGGTTAAAATGTTATGTCTGGAAATCCATCTTATTTTGGAGTCAAGGTATATACTGATGGCTATAAAGGTAGTTGGGTGGCAAGATGTCGTTCTTCTTCTCATCCCCTCTCCTAGCTAGGGTTCCTGCACCCACAGCAAAAGGCTCACACACAAATTGACTGCTCATGTGAGTAGTTAAATGCAGAAGAGAGGGTTTGCCAAGGCAACACATGAATTGTGCCTGAGTGACTCAGAGAGAATGCATTTGTATGTATACTCACACACACATATATAAAAAACACTTTCTTTGGTGCAGCCCACAAGCATATATAGTCTATCACATTCTGCCAGTTTAGATCATATATATAAGGCAGGCAAACTTGAAAATCCCTTATTGCATGAGAAATGAGGAGGGGGATATGGGGAGAGGAGATCCCAAAATGCTAAGATGTTTACATGTGAAACATTATTACCATTATTATTATTATTACTACTCAATCTTCTACTATCTTTCCACCACTCCACTCCACTCCCCACCCCTCTGTTTTATTTTCACTTTTCCACTTTCAATCAATACCCCCATCTTTCCTTGTTCCTTCCCTTGCTGATAGTTAAATGCAATGCAAGATCCTAGAAATTATTAAGAAACTCAAGGGGAAATAATGGAGATGAATCTTTCAGGGGAGATACAAGGACCAACATTCACCTTAAGGAGTTCATAGTGCTGGATGCCGTTGACTCCAATGTCAGGATCAAGAGCAGATGGGACAGAATACCGGGAATTGATGGCTGTGTTCTCAGGGATAGAGATATTGATGACCGTTGATGGAAAAAGAGGGGCATTGTCATTTATATCCTCAATCAGGAACCTGATCTTGACCAGTCGGAAAACTTCATCGGGCAGGACAGCAACTTCCACCTCATAGAAACAGCGGTTCTCACTAAAAATGCCAGAGCAGAGTTTCTCCCGGTCAATGCGGTTGGCAGTGGTGAATATTTCTCCAGTATTCTCCTCCACGTGCACCAGCGGAACATCCCCAGTCTTATACACAAGCTTGAACTGCAGGGGTGACGAAAGGGGCACATCAGGGTCCAGAGTCAAGTTGAGGTCCTTAAGCAAATTGCCAATTAGGACATTTTCTGGCAACTCCTCCCGCACCGTATAATTCTTCTCCTGGGCACCGGACTGAAACACGATACAGGTTAATAAGGCTGCCAAGAGGTAGGTGCTGGAAAGCAAGTCCATCTCCAGAATGGCTAAGGAGTTGTCCAACCGAACACTAAGAAGAACTAGGAAATAAAAATGAGAAGAGAAGAACAGATTAAGAAATGCCAGCAACCTAATAAGAGGTTTTAATCTGTTTTTTTTGTTTGTTTTGTTTTTTTAAAGGAACATCAAATTCAAACATATCATTTGGCAACGGCTGTTTCGCAATGAGCACTGGCACAGTGAAAAACAAACAAGCAAACATCAATATACATTTACTGTTTGTAAATGCTTAGTGAAGTAGATTGTTTAGTATTTGCAAGGCTTCCAGCCAATACATGCCAATTGCCAGCCAATTCCACTGCCTCACAAGTTTTGTTTTCAGGGAGAGGGAGGGAGGACCATCTACAGGGTAGCACAGCATCTCCTTGTAACTAGGAGCTAAAGTCACACATCCAAGGAATTCCACCAGAGTATTCCATCTGGATGTGCTCACCCAAAAGGTTTCCAACATTCGGTTTGCATACCATTTGCTGCTTTCCCATGGTTGTGTGTGTGTGTGTGTGTGTGTGTGTGTGTGTGTGTAAAGAAAGTATTTTCCCCATTCACATTTGCAATACCATCGCACACCATATACAAACACTCTCCACCCTCCTTCCTTTGCAGTCTGTGGTTTGGCTGTTAACACAAGTCATTCCAAACTATTTATTCTGAATTGCTGGAGTGCATCTTCTTCCACTTTGAGGCACCCCAATGATCTGAATTACAGAGTTTAATTTGGGACAAGGGAAGATGCTGACTGGTAAGTCAGAGGTCCTGGCTGCCACACATCCCGGGCAGCACAATGAGGCTTCCTGGCCATAGCCAAAGTGATGAAGATAGGGAAGAAATTTGATTTTGTTCAAATTACAAATGAGAAAATACTTCAAACCAATATGCAAACAGAAACACACTTCAGAATCCACACTTCTATGAATTCTGTGGTGCAATGCTTCAACCAAACAATTATGTACCCAGATACATCTACTGGGGGAAAGTGGACGTAAAATTGCTTAAAATAAAACAAAAAAGCATCATGCTACAGAAGGTTGTTTGCAAAAATGTGCATTATTAGTCAAAATTCCATATAACTGTGCTTATTAGGAGAAATTCATACTAAAATTTTATGGAAATATGACTATGAAATTGTTTTAAAATGCAAATTGCTGTGGGAATTTGGACAACTGAGTTTAAAACCAGGGTAGGGGTGAGATGAGAAAACAATATTGATAGATTTGACCATCCCCACTTCTTCCAAAGAAGGAAATGCCTAGCCTTAAAGGTAAAGGAAAATGTACCCCTGCCTGTACCGGCCAGTCTTGACAGACTCTAGGGTTGTGCGCTCATCTCACTTAAGAGGCCAGGGGCCAGCGCTGTCCGCAGACACTTCCAGGTCATGTGGCCAGTGTGACGAAGCTGCTCTGGCGAACCTGCACCAGTGCAGCACACGGAAACACCGTTTACTTTCCCGCTATAAAGCGGTAACATAATAATACATCAAACATTAAAAGCTTCACTATACAGGGCTGCCTGCAGATGTCTGCTAAAAGTTGTAGTTATTTATCTCCTTGACATCTGATGGGAGGGCGTTCCATGGGGGGCCCCCACTGCTGAGAAGGCCCTCTACCTGGTTCCCTGTAGCTTCATTTCTCGCAGTGAGGGAACCACCAGAAGGTCCTTGGAGCTGGACCTCAAGGTCCGGGCTGGATGACAGGGGTGGAGATGCCCCTTCAGGTATACTGAGCCAAGTCCATTTAGGAACAATCACCAGCTGCCTACCATTCTCCTTGTTCTTCTGCCAACATGCTCCTGTGCTTTTGGGCCTCCTCTTTGAGGAAACAAAAACACACTCCCTCTTTTAATCTGTATCCAGCTCCAGAGAGAAAGCAAAGCTGTTCAAGGGTTCTCCAAAGCACAGATAGTTCTATCCGTTTTCTCATATGAGAACTCAGGCTGGCATAGAAAGCTGATCAGAGTGACACCCATCTGGCAGAACCCAGCCGAGAACAGATAGAACACATTAGTAAGTAACGGAAGGAGGTTGCAATGGGCATAGCAAATGACAAGTGGTTTTATGTCAAACTGGCTATGTCCCCATCTCAAAAGAAATGTATTTCTCAGTTTCTTTGGATGTTAGATTACACAATGTTGCGGGGCCTGCAACAAGCTCCCCATAGCACAGGCTGGCATAACTCGCTGATTCCCTATTTAAACTGGCTCTTAATCTTTAAATCCCTTTATCTGCAGGATCTGATATAATGAGCTAAGAATGACATTGTGAACACTTGGCCAAGCACTCAAGGCCAAGCCCATTCTTTTGTCACAAACATTTACTCCACATGTGGGTGTTTTAATTGAAAAAAAAAATATTTAAGTTAGCAGGTTGCTATTGCTTTTCCAGACACTGCATTTTGGATCTCTGATGTCTTACAACGGTTTTGTTTTGTTGTTTTATTTATTTTAAAGCTATTTTATAGTACAGTGGTAACTCGGGTTACAGACGCTTCAGGTTACAGACTCTGCTAACCCAGAAATAGTATCTCAGGTTAAGAACTTTGCTTCAAGATGAGAACAGAAATCGCGTGGTGGCGGCACAGCAGCAGTGGGGGGCCCCATTAGCTAAAGTGGTAGCTCAGGTTAAGAAAAGTTTCAGGTTAAGAACGGACCTCCAGAACGGATTAAGTTCTTAACCTGAGATAGCACTGTAGTATCAACTTACCAATGATTTCTTAGTTGATTAATCTATTAATCATAAGATGAAAACAGCAATAGTTATGAAGCAAGAAGCACAAAGTATGTACAAACTTTTTATTTAAACATGTATTTTATCTCAATGCATGCATTTCTAGATATATGTTTATCCTAAAATACTCCCCCTCCCACACACACATTTTGAGTCATATTTCAAAATTCTGATGCCCCAAATCTGATGTGAGGAATTAAATCCCAAAAAATATATCTATCTTGGAAGGTGAATGAGGTTTGTCCACTTAATAATAATGAAAAGCACACTGAACAAAAATAAGTGACAGCAGACTAGTTTAGAAAGGGCAATGAGTTGACCTAGCTTCCCCCAGTGTCTAACAAACGATGCAGAGGAGGGGGTGTTATACGCAGAAGGTTCAATCCTGACAGGTTAAAAATAATATCAAGAGACGTTAACAACAACAACAACAACCTAATTTTTAAAATTATAATTATTTTTTAAAATATAATAATAATAATAATAATAATAATAATAATAATAATAATAATAGAGGTTAAAAATAAAAAGGTTTCTTTGGCTATGTCCAAAGTAAGAGGAAGAACAAGCAAGTGGTAAGTTCTCTGCATGGGAAAGATGGAGAAATGCTGTTGGGTGACAGAGAAAACGCGGAACTACTCAACAGCTACTTTCCCCAAAAGGAAAGTGATGCCCAACCTGGTGATAACAGAATAAATGATGTAAGGAGGGAGCTGCAGCCCAAGATAGGAAAAGAGGTAGTAAGGGACACCTACGTAGCTACTTTAAATAAATTCAAATATCCAGGGCCTGATGAGCTGCATCCAAGAGTACTAAAGGAGCTTGCAGATGTAATTTGTTTATTATCTTTGAGAATTCTTGGAGTACAGGTGAGGTCCCTACAGACTGGAGGTGGGCAAATGTTGTCCCCCTCTTCAAAAGGGGGGGGGGGAGGCCCAGGCAACTACCAACGGGTGAGGTTGACATCCATACTAGGGAAGGTCCTAGAACAGCTAATTCAACACTTGGTCTGTGAGCATTTAGAAAAGGATGCTGTGATTACTTGGACCCAGCATGGGTTTCTTAAAAATAAGTCATGGCAGACCAATCTGGGGTTTGTTTGTTTTTGAAATGAAATTACAAACTTGGTGGATCAGGGAAATGCTGTGGATATAGTGTATCTTGATTTCAGTAAGGCTGTTGACAAAGTCCCCCATAATAGTCTCATAAGGAAGTTGGTAAAATATGGGTTGAACAAGATACCTGTTAGGTGGATTTGTAGCTGGTTGACTGACTGAACCCCAAAAGTACTCATTAATGGTTTCTGGGGGAAAGTGACAAGTGAGGTGGCACAGGGTTCTGTCCTGGGTCTGTTGTTGCTCATCGTCTTTTTAAGTGCCTTGGATTAAGGAATTGAGGGAATGCTCATCAAATGTGCAGATGACACCAAACTGGAAGGGGTAGCTAATGCCACAGAAGACTCAGAATTCAAAATTACCTTAACAGATTGAAGAATTGGGTGCAAGCTAACAAAATGAATTTCAAAAAGGATCAATGTAAGGCTCTGCCCTTAGGCAGGAAGAACCAGATGCACAAATATAGGATGGTGGACACCTGGCTTATTAGCAGTACATGTGAAAAGGATCTAGGAGTCTTGATGGACCACAAGCTTAACATGAATCAACAGTGTGATGCAGCAGCAAAAAAAGCTAATGATATTCTAGGCTGCATCAACAGAAGTATAGTGTCCAGATCAAGAGAAGTAATAGTACCACTCTATTCTGCCTTGGTCAGACCACTCCTGGATTACTGTGTCCAATTCTGGGCACCACAGTTTAAGAAGGATGTTGACAAGCTGGAATGTGTGCTGAGGAGGGCAACCAAGATGATCAAGGGTCTGGAAACTAAGCCTTATGAGGAGCACTTGAAGGAGCTGAGTATGTTTAGCCTGGAAAAGAGGCAACTGAGAGGAGATAAGATAGCCATCTTCAAATATCTTAAGGGCTGTCACATGGAGGAGGGAGCATGCTTGTTTTCTCCTGCTCTGGAGGGTAGGACTCAAACCAATGGCTCCAAGTTGCAAGGAAGGAGATTCTGACTAAACATTTAGAAAAAAAACTTTCTGACAGTAAGAGATGTTTGACAGTGGAACAGACTCCCACAAGAGGTGATGGGCTCTCCTTCCTTGGATGTTTTAAAACAGTGGTTGGATTGCCACCTGTCATGGATGCTTTAGCTGAGATTCCTGCATTGCAGGGGGTTGAACTAGATGACCCTTGAGTCCCTTCCAACTCTAAGATTCTATGACATCACCAGGTAGGG